TGCTAAACGTATCGAAAAGTAATCAATTTTGATTAAGCATAACTCAGAAACTATGTAGTAAAATGCACTGAAACTTGGCAAAAGTATCTATCAGCTGCTTAATTAATCTTGTTGAATCGAATGCAATTATAATCAATAATACTTGAAATATTTTTCAGTTCTTTCACGTATTCCGAATTGAACATTTTTCTAATTTCATATTCGCACATATAGAATATTTATGGCATAAATGGAAGCGTTAATAAATCCGATTGAAGTCAATGATAGTAAAAATAGGTTTATTTTCAGTAGCCGCGGTGCGGGATTAGATTTTGTGCATTTTTTTCGGATCGGATGAAACAATGCGGTAAACCAGAGGCAGCTGACAATAAATCCGAGCAGAATTGCGCCGGGTAGGGAAGCCTGCCGGCATCGGATATCCGGGGATTTCGGTGTCCCCCGAATAAGGGAATTAAACTTTATCGCGAGGCTGTATTTTTTTTTTTTTTTCCACCTATGTATGATTCGCTAGTTTATCTCGCGCCGTGTATTTTATTCAAACGTTAATTCCGGCAGCCGTAAAATTCCGATGATGTCCCGTCTCGAAAATCTATACCGATAATTCTTTAACGCTTGGAATTATGCCACGTTCTCTTTATCGAAGTCATTCTCAAAATTGCCTCGAACATTTTTACCGATTACTCCAAACGCTAGGATCACCAGTTTAGATCTCGGAATTTTTAACTACCGTACAATCTGAAAACTCCGTGATCCCATTAATACTCCGATGTTCCATTCTCCCTATCAAAAAACTGTTTCCGCTGTAAACTGTAAAAGTTGCTCGGTCCACATTTGCGGTGGTTACTCGAATCGGTGAACGTGAGATAGCGTGTTCAGATACCCGAATTTAAAGTCTCCCCTAATTTCCCGTTTAGAAGACAGACTAATATCGTCGAAAGTTGAACATTCCACGTGGAGCGAGCAACTCCCGATGCTTGGCCAGCCACCCAACTCGCACCCTCGCCATGCATTTTGCATCGCGGCCGTTACGTGACTGCAGAGCCCGGGAAACGTGTATAAATATTTACGCGAGAAAGATACGGTGCACGCGTGTATTTTTCCTGCAACTTCGCCAATCGTCCGGCCGTTACCCGTCTCCATTATTTTAACACCAAGAGAACACCGTTTCTTACATCCAGTAGAACCAATTAATATTTATTAATTAAATAATTACGCCTGTGACAAAACGTTCGATTCAAATCGTTCTATGGGAAATGATCGAAACGGTTCTGGGTCGAATCGAAATTAATTTATCTCTGTGATGAACTCGCATGCTTCTCCTCCATTAAAATGGCACAAACCCGATTATAGATAAGATCGCGATACGCTCTGCTACCAAGGATGTAATCGGGAATCCTGGCCATGTTTCAAACGAATCACGAGTTCAATTTCAAATCTATTTAAACAGTTCGACGAAATTTCCTATCTTCTATTAATTTAACGACTAATTCTTCTGAGACTAGAACAATGAACTAGATCGATTCGATCGATGACGATCTACGAATCAGCCTCGGTGAACCATTTGTTGATCGTCAACCATAACTGCACAATGCTCCCAAATGGTAGAATTGCTCGCCGGCTGGAAATAAAAAGAAAATCAATTTATAAACCTTCCTTTACCCTCAATAGAATTGTTCTTTTTTTTTTTTTCTTTCTTTCTCGTTTCCAGAAATTAATCCCCAACCACTGGACGCAATTATTCCCCGTGAAACTTACAACAAAGGCCCGCGTATCGGTTCGAGTAGACCATCCCGTAGCTGCCACAGGCAGGCTGGCCCGATTGATACGGTTGAAAGCCGAGCACGTTGCCGCTGAAACGAGAAAAGGAATACAGACTCTCTCTCTTCTTTTTTTTTTTTTTATTTACCAGAGGAGAATTATTCATACAGAGATAAGATAACTGTGTGCTTTGGGGTTAAAAATATCATACGGCCTCGGGCTCCCACCCTCCTTTTACTTTATTTTACACACGACTCCTTTTTTTTTTTT